AAAAATAAATAAAAGAAATATCGATTAGTTCGAAATATCGGTTAGTTGTGACATTCGATACATCGAATGCATATTAAATGATATGCTAAGAAAAACCATAGTTCTTGTCGTATGCTTAAAATACATATTTACCTCTGAATAGAGGTTTAATATATCTTGTTTTAATTTTTTTTTTCGTTTGTCATATCTGAACCTTGTTTTTCCATTATAAATACAAAGCCAATGTCGATAAAGTTTGTCATGTGTAAATATGATATTTTTGTTGTTTTTCATCTTTATCCATGAAATGTTTTGACATTCGCTTCAACGCGAAGTTCTTCATACAATAAAAGTGGTTAGCCTGGTTATAATTATTAATTTTTTATTATCATTGTTTGATTTCAAGCTGTTTGCGCTAATTGTTTGTCTTATCTTATCTTTACTGGGTACACAGGATTGTATAAACACTTTCTTGGAAGAGCTGACTAAGTGTTTTAAGTGCAACTAGATATCGATAACACAATTTACTACATATTTACTTATTGCTCAAATTATTGTAGCTTGTGACATTTATAACGGAATATTTATCAAATTGAATTTTATTATCTTAAATTTGCGCACATCGCAGCCTTAATTTTAAATTGTGTATTTAATTAATTACTTGTAAAATATTTTTCCTTAAAATTAAAATTATAATGCAATAGAACGTTGTATATGCGATCTAAACTAGTTTCTACTCTAATCTCTCTACCACTATATCAGTAATTCGTGATCACAATCAAAAGCGGAGACGATCTCTCCATTTTCTTCTGTCTGTCCGTATGAAAGTCGAGATCTGAGGAACTATAAAAGCTACAAATTGAGATTGAGCATGCAGATTAAGCAGACATAGGCACAGTGCAATTTTGTTGGCCCATGTTGCTACGCTCCCTCTAACTCCCGCAAACCGCAAAAAACTGCCACACCCACAGTTTTGACAAAATTATTGAAATTTTTTTATTTTATTATTCGTTTTTCCAATGTCTAACATCCTATAAAAATGTTGATCACAACTTAGATATCCTACCTGGGAATAAATATTAATTGTGGGGCTGGAAGCATAAGTCGGTTGAACGAATCTATGAATTTTTAAATCTTTGTTGTGGATAGAGAATTTATAAATTATAACGCAATCGTTTACACACACGAAATGTAATTGTTTATTTAATTTATTTATTTATTTATTTAGTTTATTTACTTGCCGAACTTACATATTGTTAGAAATACTAACTCTATAGCTTAATGGCTATTAGTCTGCCCATTTAAAAATTATTTATTTCAAAATGAATAGTATTTTTTTTTAACAAAATCTATAACGAAATGATAATGATAAATGATTTTCTAACAAAATCACGTTTAGATATATAAAATACAAACTTCCATACATCTTAAGCCAGGAAACCTAAAGGAATCGGTATCGGTCCATGTCCGCCTCTCTCTTTATGCCTGTATTTACAGCTGCGGCTAAAAAAATAGCACGACTGCAGGTGGAAAGTTTATTTCCTAAAAAAAATGATTGAATGTTTATTTTTTTTAAAGTCAGATTGCATGAATAATAAGTACATTATGTTGTCTCTCTGAGCAAGAAATTTTTACTCTCTCAATGTAACGGTTCTTTTTGTTTTTGGGCACTTTCTGCAAAAGCGCCCGAAATGAGGCGGTAACAAAACTAGCACTGACCACGTATTTGCTGAATAAAATTAATAGGAGTGATTGTTTTGGGTTTTTTTTCGACAAATTTTGAAAAAAGGAGTTGCATTAAAGGTTTTAATTGAATTTTTTCCAAACGAAGACCAAAAATTCTCTAGTCATGGGTCGCGGAAAGCATTGTACCGTCGAATAAAGAAGTTTGATTAAAAACATGGTCTCTGAAGGTAAAACCTACGCTAAAATTGATCGAATTTTCGGTTGTTCAAACAAAATGATCCGCAACGCACTGCTGTTTGTCGAAAAGAACGAAACTCGTGGAAGAAAGCCCTCAATGTCCAACTTGGAGATCAAGCGCTTGGTTCGGCAAAGCAAGAAGGAGCCTTTTAAGCCGGCGACGGAACTGAAGAAGGAGCTTCAGATAGCTGAAAGCGTGAAAACAGTATGCAAACGCTTAAGACAAAACAACTTTAATGCGTGGAGTCCCAGAAAAGTCCCGCTTTTGACTGTGAAGCATGTGGCAAAGCGAATGGAATATGCCAAGATACACAAGGATTGGCCTGTGGAGAAGTGGCGCAACATTTTGTGGTCAGATGAGAGCAAAATTGTGTTGTTTGGTGGAAAAGGCTCTCGGTCTTATGTTCGGCGTCCACCACGACCTGAATATAATCCTCGCTTCACCTCTAAGACGGTAAAGAACGGAGGATCAAACATAATGGTATGGGCGTGCTTTTCATACTATGGAGTAGGTCCGATCCATTGGATTCAAAGCATCATGGATCAGCATATTTACACAGATATCCTGGAAAATGTGATGCTGCCGTATGCCGAGGATGAAATGCCGTTGGCTTGGACATTTCAATAAGGTAACGACCCAAAACACATGAGCAAGAAAGCTCGAAAGTGGTTTGAGCAGAAATCGATCAGAGTAATGAAATGGTCTGCTCAGTCACCCGACTTGAATCCAATCGAAAACCTTTGGGCGGACGTGAAAAAAAAGGTTTCTGAAGCCAAACCCAATAATATCGAGGAACTTTGGGGTGTGGTCAAGGATGCATGGAGCGAAATTCCTCAAAAACGGTGCCAGGACTTGGTGGACTCCATGCCAGGACGATGCGCAGCTGTCATCGCCAACAAAGGTCACGCAACCAAATATTAAGATTCTTTAAACATAGTTCTTAAGATATTATCCATTTGTTGAATTCTTTTTTTATTTTTTTGCTTAGTTTTAGCAAACTACGAAAAAAAGTGCTATTTTTGTTATCGCCTAAATTTGAAGGTTTTCTTTTTGTTTTGCCAATTATTTTTAAAATATCCATTAGATCTGTTACTAATTTTGTTATTTCGATTGAAAATCATTGTAGAATTTAAGTTTAGTGAGTAAAATGATGAAAAAGTGTCAGAAAATACAGAAACGCTGGGACAAACACGAAATGTGCTTATGGTGCTATTAATGTCTCCGCAACTGTATGTAGAGATTTTAGGGATGCAAGTGCAAATTTGTTTTAAAATATTCCAATATTCACAACCGCACTAAACCGAGAACGCAGTACAGGAGACTGTTACGACCATATAAAGTGTATATTATCTTGATCAGTATCAACAGCCGAGTCCTGAATTACCTGAAAATAAATGACAGGAAAAGAAACAAGAGTGAACGCTATAGTCGAGTTCTCCGACTATCAGATACCCGGTAATCAGCTAGTAGAAGTTCGAACGCGAAATTGCAACATTTTCTGGCATATTGATAGAAAAACAACAATTAAAGGAAAAGTTTTTAGAAATTTACAAGGTTAATATAATAAAAAAAAAATAATATCCAAAAATGGGCAGTTTTGGGCTTTATAGTTGACGTAGCAGCATCAATAAAAAGCTTGCGCTGCGTTCAATTTCTGCAATCTACATGCCTAATGACGCTCATACGGCCAGTAGTATACCCTTTTAATCTACAAGTAACGGGTATAATAAGTCTTGAAAATTAAATATTTGTAATATAAACAACACAAAAAGAAAATTATAAAACCATAACTGTTGATTATTGTGTAGAAAATGCAAAAACAAATTTAGAAGAAACGGCATTCATGAAAATTAATTTAAATAACTTTTACTCGCAAATGCTATAGTCTACGGTATATGCAGTATGCAGTATATGGCTAGAACAAGAGTAATTTTAGTAAGATTTTTGCCGGGGATGCCCTTTCTTTAACTTCTTACATCATTTTCAACTAATCTTATATATTTAACTAATCTTCATATATGCACTTCTACTTTCCTTGTAATCGGTATATACAAAGAAAATCTTTCTGTTCGTTAACTTACAAAAATACAGTAGAATCCGGTTATAACGACTCCGCTTATAGCGTCAGTCCGGTTATTGCGACGGAAACTCGATGGCTTGGTTGGTCCCCATACAAAGTTATATGAAAGGACGTCTCCGTTTTTAGTGACAAACCGCTTATACCGACGAGATTTTTTATATTTCAACCGGATATTGCGACGTGCAAAAAAAAAAATACAGAAAGATATTTACAATAATTTACAGTAATTATTTAAAATAATTACAAAAAAAAAAATCAAATGTTTACAGCGTGCGTGTGCAGATATACTATACTTATAGTTTTTTCAGCTTTTTTCCAATAGAACTTAATGCGTAAATTCGCCAAATGTTAGTTAAATGCGCATGATGAGCTCATTCAGTTTAAGCTCGCCACTTGTGCATTAGGCCCACAAAATGTCTTTAAAACAAAAATGCTTCTCCGTCGAAGAAAAATGCCAATTATTTGGCGCTTGGAAGCTGGTGAGCCTATGAAAAACCCATGTTATTAAATTAAATTTTTTTGAATCTTCCGAGTATAACGACGTAAAATCGTCGGTCCCTTGAAAGTCGCTATAACCGGATTCTACTGTATTTTTAGGTATTGCTAGAGTATGAAGAACACATATTTGTAATCATGTTCCATAGATATTTAATGTTTTTCCATTTATGTATATTACATTTAAAATCGGTGAATTCCTATGCTATGCTTTTCCTTACTTTGGATGAGTGCGTTGACTATGAACGAATTTTAGAAAAATACGTTTGTCCACCGCCAAATATAACAGTATACAATTAAGTAAAAGCGTATTTAAACATGTCAGATCAAAATGTAGGAAGAATACTTATCTAGGTGTCGTTTATTGCTGAACTGTTTGCCACATCTATCATTTGCCACACTTGCCAGGACGGATAAATATTCAAATGTTAGTGAATTTTGATTGCCTGGCTTTCCATTTTGAGGTTAAATTAGTTTTCGTCGCTAAGAAACTTTGTTATCTTTGTTTTTATTTACTTGCAGAGTTGAAGCTAACTGGACCCTTTACACAAGACAAGTCGACAATGAAAGCAATAGCAAAGGAACCAGCCCAAAAAAACGGATAATCTAAAAATTTCAGAAAGAAAAATTCAGCGATTTTGTAACCGTACCAGACCAATCCACTGATTCAAAGGCTAAGTAAGGCGGTTTCGCACAACCGCTGAGGGCTCTTCATTCATTTTGTGGTGGGAGGGCGAATAAACTTACATTGTTAGACGGAAATTAATGACACTACTTGGGCCTAGCGCCCCTGGCATGGCCTTTATGATGAAAAAGAAGAAGTACAAGTTTAACGTTGAAGTGCAGCTGCAGGATTTGGTAGAGGTGGCCCTGGTTAATGAGGTGTTGTTCGCAAAGATACGGTTACTCGATGGAGGTTCCTTTCAGGAGTACAGTAGTCGGTAAGATCTCATTAAATTCGTGGAAATTGTTCAGATATAATAACTCCTTTTTCCAGCGAGGATGTGCGAAATCATCGAGTAGAATGGAACCGCAGCTTTGAGTTTCCTTGCAAGATGAGCGCGAATGCCTCAACCGGCGTTTTAGATCCCTGTCACCTGCGTATATCAATACGCAAAGAAATGAAGGGCGGCCGAAGCTACTATAAGCTTGGATTTATCGACCTCAATCTGGCCGAATTCGCTGGAGCCGGCCTCACCTCCCGTCGGTTTCTCCTAGAGGGCTATGACTCAAGACATCGCCTAGATAACTCGATGTTGCGAGTGAGCATCAAGATGCATATGCTTAGCGGTGATATTCTGTTCAAAGCGTAAGAAATTTCTTTTGAAACCCTAATACTATTTATAATACACCTTATCTTCAGACCCACGCCAAATCTGAAAAGCAAGCAGAGCAAGCCTTCAATGGATGACTTTTCCAATGCAGCTACTGGAGTAGGTCTGCAAACTCCGACAGCTACCGCTCTGCCCAGTATAGGTAGTGGAAGCGGTGGTGCATCCGTTCCCTTGGGCGGTAGTGGAGCCACTTTGGGCGGCATCCCCGGCAATCAGTCGCTACCCGGAACGCGACCCGTTTCCACCACAAAGGAGGAGGGTAAGTAGTAGTTGGAAATCAGTCTTGTTTCTAGAAAAATATCCATTATCCATGTATTTGAAATAATCGCTTTCGATCGGTGCTCTTCTTCTTATACCAGTTGATGATATAAAGGTATATTAGATTCGGTGAAAAGTGTAGTGTAACGGGTACAAAAACCTTTTGTAACGAGTGGTCTTTAACACTTTCAAAAATAAATTGCCCATAATGTACTGCTCAATGTATTAGTCTTTCTTTATCACTCTCGAACACAACAACTAAAAACTTTTATCTCTCTTTACATAAATTATTAAATTTGTTTTGTCTTGGAATAGTTTTTGATTGGTATATTCGTTTTGCCGTATATATAATGTAGTTGCCTTCGCGAACTTTTCTGGTGCACTTCGTCACTAGTGGCTCTTGCATGCAGATGCGCAAGCTATGTTCACTCACAATCAAGCATATACTGTTTAGTCGGTACAAAGAAACATTTTAACCATAATTTTACTTCAGCAATACTTACAGATATCGATAACCAGGCTTTGATAGCAGCTATTGTGACGGACTCCGGCTTGTCGGAGTCCTCGGAATCCGGGTTAACGTTGCCCACGGATAATCTCCAGCAGTATGCCTCAGTCGTCGTAGCTAATCCTATTAGTCCTGTGACCCAGCCGCTGCCGGTACTGGGAATCATTGGCAGCAACAATTATGGAACAACAGGAGGGGGTATTGGATTTTCTGGCGCCGGCAACGCCACCCTCATAGAAATGGGTCATTCAAGAAATTCCAGTAATACTAGTCAAGTAAGTAAAGAGTTGCATCAGTTGAGTTGACAAATACTTGATTCTCTTAATGTTTTCCGAAATAGATGTCAAAAGGTTCGGGTTATAGTAGTTTTTCGCACAGTCAACACTCAAGGCAAAGTTCTGAGGGTGATTCGGGACATGCTAGGTAAGTCAACAAGACAATTTTTAAAATCACTTATATTATGTAAAAAGCTTTGAACTATTTTCTTGTATTATTACTTTTGACATATTTTGCCAAAGATTCGAATAATCGATATCTACATATCATTTCTTATATAACTCAAACATCAATAAGTAATATAAGTGCTAAGGCGTTATTTAACAGCCTACTTTAATTGTGTCTAAAACTTTTACCTATCGCAAAAATACTGAAATAAATGAAAATCATATGTGGCATGTATGTCCTTACTAGTTTAAACATTGCATTCTGTACTAAAAAAATATTTCATAAACTGAATAGTAAAAATTAATTTAAGATAGAACTTCTAACAAATAAGTCTTCATTCATATTTGAAAATGGTATATTCTTAAACCATTTTATTTTACGTCTATGTATATTATGTTTTACTGCCTAATATATTTTGCTTGGCTTTGATTTTGTTTCGCTGAAATAATTATCCATTAACTATATTAAGTCCTATATCCTTTAAGTCACTTTAGCTACGAACATACTATTAAGTACTTTTGTTCAAGCCTAGAACGGACAAATTTTTCATAAGGGTTATGTAAAAAACCGAGTGCTTAAAATATTTTCTAGCAACTACAGTAAAAAAAACTGGCTTTATCAAATTGTAAGATTTTGATTACAATTGGTTGTGGCGCCGCGTTTTGTTTGCATTGAATCAAATTTGAAAATGAGTTTTGATCATTCATAAATAATGCTGCAGCGACAGCAGCTACTAGTTGTTTCAATTTTTATTAATTATAATGTCCACGCTTACATTTGAGTTCCTAACAGTTATTTATTTTGGTGAGACCGTATATTGGCCACCAAGAAATATACAATGGCTAAACATAGTATATTATTTTTGGGCCAGGTTCTGTTCGCCTAAGTACTGGGCTTAATTCAAAAACCACAGGAGGTACATTTTTAACGTAACCTCTATATTCCCTTGCACCTTCAGCCAGAGAGTTGCTTAAATGAATTTGCAAGACCAAGAATAAAAAGGAGTATACTTATTTAAGCGGTGTATAAGTCTTCTTATTTCCTACAGTTTCTAAAAGTAGTGCAGCTTAAAATATTATTGTAGATCAGTTGCCTGAGCAAGTCTGGTTAGGGTACCATAAATACTAAACACCTAAAATGTTGGTTTTTGTTTATTTCATCACATGGTCTTAGAGAACTTTTGGTTTTTGTTCCTTTTACTTTTACTTATAATTTAGACTTACGTTATTTGTTGTATTAATTATGCTTTTTTAATAATTTCTGTCTTTCCCTTTTTAACTAACATTATGTTTTATATATAACAAAATGGGGTAAATGGCCAACTAACCAACCAAAAATTACATCTTTAAATACAATTTCAATAAACGACTGCCTGCGCTCGAAATATATGACAAAAAACTACAGTCGCTTTAGAAAATCCGTTTCTCTACTTAATAGACTCAATCAGAGAGCAATTAATGCCATGAAATTGAATATACCACGCAGCCGACAGCACAGCCAGAAGGGAGATGAGCATCAACTATGTAACAGAGTGCCAGTGGTAGTAGCCCAAAGCCATCGTGTTCATACACATCTCAGTCTCAGCACCACTGTTGAATACGCTAGCGATGAACAGCTTTACCAGACTCCAAACGCCACCATGACCAACTCTCAAAAGTTGGCCTTTGAAGACTTCCGCACTCCGATTGCAGAACATGCAGCTCCGTTCTTCCAACCGATGGGAGCATGCTGTAGTGGTACTCCCAGCTCTACTTATCGCAGTGCCGGATCTCCGTCCCACAGTGGAGAGGCGAGCGATACAGACGAGTGTCTTAACGACGATTCGGGCGACAATGATTCTGGCCTGGAGGAAAACTTTCATACGCCCCGTGTGGCCAAGATTAAGTCGATGGAGAATCTCTCCATTCTGGAGATGGAGTTTCACAAGGCTTCTATGGAACTGGACCGCAATTCACCGCGCCGTCTAAAGCAACTAGCTGAACATGCGCAGATCCCCAAAATGAAGTCGCTAAACAACCTCTGTTTTGACCACTATGCGGAGCAGTCCGTTCGCGAAGAGTTTCAGCGCATGCACGAACAGTCGCTCGAAGAGCGAATGCGCTTCCAACAGCACCATCAATTACGGAAGAACTCCAACACATCGAACGGGTCGGCGACGAAGATGTATGTGAAGCATTTGAGCCACCAGAATCATCATCATATTAAAGTCGGTAATGCCAAGTTCATCGGGCAGGACGGCAACGAGAGTCCGCAATCGATGCACTATCCCATTCAGAAGATGCGTTCAATGGGTACAATACAGGACATTGTGAGCGACCGCATTGAGCCTGACCCCTTCCTCACTCCAACTACCGAGCGAAAGCCAAATTTCTCGCGTCTCGTCCAGTCTGCAGAGAAGCCGGTCCTGGGCAGCAGCTACGTCAATCGTCTACTTACCTACGATGTCGTGGACTCGCCGTCAGAGCCATTCAACAGCTCAATGTCCTTTATGTCCCGTACCCCCTTTCAGCGAGCTTATCGGCGTAACATGCAGCAAGGCAGCTCTTCGACGCCTCTGGCTACTCAGGATTCGTTCGCCGTGAGACCACATTCCACGAATGCTGCCTATGAACTAATGAGGTGCGTCGCGTTAAAATAACAAAAATTCATTCAGTAAATTCACTTAAAAAGTACTATAACTAGTCGAACACTAAATATAGAATCCAGAGCGTTACTCGTTACTTTTTAAAATGTATCCGTTACTGTTAAACTGTTTTTCTTAATGTTTAGTCTAAGACGTCGTTTTCAGGACCTAGTCTAGGAATTACCATTGGTCCCTGGTATTGGTCCACTACCCCATACTGCTGATATCGTTTTCGTTTAATATTTACACTGTTTTTTTCGTTGGATGTTTGTTTTACTTCTGTTTTGTTGGAATTTGCACTAATCATGTTTGGCTTTTGTTGAGTTATTTTTGGGTTTTACTACATTTAAAGATAGTTTTAAGCTGTTTAAAAAGGTTTCATTGGATAGATGGTTGTACAGTATTTCATTTGCGACTGACTGTTCCACTTTAATCACAATATTAATCACCCAATCAAGCCATTCCTATTTTTTATTACGTGATAACTGAGCTATAGTAAACATTAGTTCTCATTCATAGTTCTCAATAATGAATTCATTCAATTTTTGTCACCACAAAAATAAAAAACATTTCAGCGACATATTTTGCTCGAGCAAGCACAATCTACATAATAAATTCATAAGGTCACTGTAGTATGAGTCGCTTTACGAGGGATTTGGAAATAATAGAAACGGTTTGAATGAACATAATGTTTTGAAAATCCAAAACGGAAGACGTATATTTAAAAAAAACAGCCCAAATCAAGAAATCAATAAAAAAGTTTGTAGTCCTCGTGAATATAAATGTACATAGCGGCTTTAAAATGTAGTTAAAATATAGCTAGGCTTAGGCTTCTTTTGGTCCACACCTTTGAACATCAGTAAACTACTATATATAGTTAATCGATTTGCCTAAAATATTACGCGCGGTTGCGCTTAAAAATTACAAGCGTTGCAAGCGTGATCCATGCTGTTATAGTACTGCGACGTTCATACGACAGAAGAACGTACAAACAAACATGGTCAGATAAATTTTCTGATCAAAAATATATACGAGATCGAGAAATTTCCAAATTTCCTCGGCATATCGATAGAAATTTACAAGAAAACAAAAAATAACAGAAATCAAACAATATTTCAAAAGTAGGGGGCGTGGCAGTTTTGGGTGGCTTGTTGGTTTTGAAACCGACTTGCACAGCGTAGGCGTCACTAGAATCTGTATGCCTAATGTCAACTCTCCAGATCAGAGCGTCACATACGAGCAGACAGACGGGCATGGCATGATCGAATCGCCTAGGGTATATTTTAAAAGGTCGGATACCTGGTACGGTTATAAAAAGAACGGTTTAAGTCCCCCAAATATTTTTTATAGTCTACGAGCAGAAGAATATCTTTCAAAAGGAAATAATAATTGTATTATTATTACTTGCTCTGCTAATTTCTATTGATCTACATTGAAAACGAATAATAAGTTATAATCGAATGCAAAAAATGTGATCGCCGCAAGGTGGCGCTCATGGCCACTGTGGGCAACAGTCGCTTTTCTACTTGTTTGGTAATGGGTATTTAGTGGATAAACTCGACTGCTACCTACTCTCTTATTTTCATTTCATATTTTGTATATATTAGGATAAATTAGTGAGTCTTTACTCAAACTCGTAATATTTCGGCTTGCCGAATTTTGTATTTTTTCTTGTTAATTTTATTTTTTTTAAATCGACATGCTGACATCCGAAAGAAAATCATATGCATATATACTGCATAAGATAACCCTAACCCTGTAGCGTTTGCCAAACGCTCTTATGTGACGGAAAACACATTTGCTAAGCTCATTGGCTTCATCTTAGGAAGTAACATATTAAGTAATATGTTATTTGTTTGTTCGATTTTTTTTATGTTTTCACTACCATGTGTTAAGAAATGTTAAACGCTTTTATTAGTTCTTAGTACGTGTTTTTATATGGCTGTAATGTTCTGTGTCTAAAACAAATATTCGCATTTATGGACGCGTTCATTCAGAAACTTCAGTGGAGTTCCTCGTCGGCTCTTTGATGGAAATAGCACCACTGCAGGACAGAACAGCAACATAGGTGCTGCAAGCAACAACAGACAACAGCAGCCCAGTGCGGCAGGAACTAATAGTTTTTTTGGATCCAATTCATCACCTTGTGGAACTTTGGCCAGTATACACTCAAACCACTCGGCCTCCTCGTCAAATGGCAGCAACAGCAGCAGCAGCGGAGCAGTCATTACCTTCCAATGTAACACAGGCAGTGGACAGGACACAGTGGACTCAGCAAACCATCAACCGCAGATGACAGAGGGATCACCCAACGGTCATGGTAGCAGCCCCCGGTTAGGCAACGTCATGTCAGGCGATGCCATTAGCTCGATGGCCGCCAGTCCCACAGACGCTTGTAGCATCCGTTCTAATCCGTCGGCCGCCTCTCTTCTCCTTTCCACGTCGGCAGCTGCAGCAGAGGCTTCTGCATTGGCCTCGGCAACTACTATGTCCGTTTCCGGAGCAACACTTTCACCTCTAGCCACCACCCAAATCATTCGCCGGCCTAGCATCACAATGATGTGGGTTTATTTGAAGTTTTTAATTTTTATATGTTCACCTTCGTACTTTGAGCTTTTTAGTTGTAATGTCATGCTTCAGCAGAAATATTATCGTTTTAAAAATTGTGAACTTTTTTCGCAGGAAGCAGATAGTTTGAGCTTTATATTCTAGTAGCATACCGAATTAAAAATTTTTTATGTTAAAAGCAATTTTTTAATTTGTAAATAAACAACTTTTAGCAAATTATGCTTAAGATGTTTAGAATAAGTAGTTGTTTGTCCCCGAATTCACGGATAATGTATATTCTATTTTTATAGTTTGTTTTTACGTTTCTTTTTATGAAAATAGTCCAGACAAATAAATATATTTATGGTTTATATACAAATTTATCAACAAATTATCTTACTGATTTAATACCATTAAAAGATTTTGCACATGCCCTGCATAAGCGTATTCATTCATTTATTAAAGGCTCCGTATTTATTTGGCATGGTATAACCAACCAATGTGCAAACCTTGTATTGTTTTGCCATGATATTGCACGTGCTTTTGTTTTCTTGTTTATTTTGCAAGTTATTAGTAATTTCGTAATTACAATTAAGATTATTGTTATTATTATTTGAATATCTTCATGTGCTTACTTTTTGCTATCAATTTAAGTTTAATTTCCTCATTTCGTTCATTCAGGAATCCCAGCTCCGGTTCGTTAGTTATTAGTGAGACGGGATCCCTTGATCGGACGAAAAGCAGCGGTGAGAAGCGCAAAAAGGGTGCGCTCGATGACGGGCCACGTGTTTCCGACCGAGTGGAGGAGACACGGGTGAATCCAGACTCGTTAATTGATGAGATTTTAAAGGATACTAAACTCGATCAGCTGGAGGAGTCCGCAGAAAGTAAGTTCCCTAATGCTTTTGGGTAAATAATTACAACATTCTGTTTTTAGCCTCAGGCCTTCAACTGTACATCGCTCGCGATGGAACCGCCTCCCTGGGCGGACACGAGGTTAAATCAAGCGTACGAGCGGGCGCCCTAAAGCAGGTGGTCATGCAGGATAGAAGATAGTAGTATCCGAGACTCACAGCTCCTTTCTACAATTAATTAGAAGACCTATTGATCAATTAAAAATGGAATATTGAACTAAACGAATAGTTTAGGTAATGCAAACATTTTTACTTGCAAACTAAAGGGAGAATTCAAATACGCTATATATGAGTATATAAAATGATTGTCGGAACTACACTGCTATGAATGTAATTAACTAACTACACATATATGTGTTTATAGACAAATACGCATGTATATTATAGATTTGTTAAAAGGCATAACTTGTCGTGTTGTATTTGCAAGTGTTGTGAGTCAGGTAAACAACCGTTAATTATTAGGAAAACCAAAAATGAAATTCATAAAACTGCACTTTATATATGCATGAAAAATTACTCGCAAAGGAATACGATTAAATGTTCTAAATTTGATTTTCGAATATATAATTTTATGTTTTGCTTCTATTAATATGTCCAGCTTCATGGCATTTATAAATATATGCAAAAAATAATAGAATAAATAAAGCAAATGTCATGTTAAGCAAAAAGCTTCAGAAATAAATCACATTGTAATAGTCATCGAAATATAGCGCAATCAAAAACTAAATGAGTTTTACCAATTCAGCCCATTATATGCATTTTTCTTTTGATATACACAATCATTACTCAAGGTTCACAGATAACATTACTTTTTTAAAGTCAAAAATGTTGTAGATTTCTAACTGGTATTCTAGTTGCGTTAGTTATTATTTATAACTTCCGAAAATCGATAAGGCAAATGGTGAATAAATTTGCAAAAATTGTTTAAGAGTTTTGATGTAAGAAATGTTTTTTTATAAACAATACTTTTGAATCAATCGAAAAAGCTGTTAGATGGGAACACAAAAAATACAAATAATTATTACCTAATGCTTATGTTAAAAAAAATTGTGTAAAATGATGTAGTTATTTTTTAACAATTTTTAAGGGGAGAACTTGAATAGCTCCATATTAGTTTATTTAAATTGTATATGCAACAAAACAGAAAAATAAAAATTGATACATACATGGTTGATAACTGTCAAATGTCTAGAGTTGGGCAAATGTTGTTGGTTGCTTAAAGAAACATGCTAATTTCGATATTTTTAAAAATGTGAAAAGAATTTCACATACACTTAAAACTTAAAAATTGTGAAAATCATCAAAACATAAATGACATTGTCAGCAAAAATTGCCCAACTCAACTGGCAAAGTTTTGTTCCCTTAAAAACAAAACTCATAAAATTGAAAAATTCAATTACCAATAAACATTAAACAGCTTAAAAAATGGGAAACATTTAATTCAAAGAGAACTCCTAACAAAACGAAGATAGGTCCCATTATGAGCAGTAAGAACAAAGGCTTTGGGATCGAACCTCATTTCCGGCGAAGTCCTTTCGCAGAGTTCCACCCGAAAGTGTTTAAGAGTGTGCAACAGTCCAACTTTGATCTCCAATTGGCCAAGAAGTGTCCCAATGCAGCCTCTCGGTCCTGCACCAAAGGGCAAATAGGTCATGGGATGATGCTGTTGCCGTTGCTCGGGTGAGAAGCGATCTGGGTCGAAGATTTCGGGGTTTGGCCAGTACTAAGACTCTGAAAATTATAGAATATGAATTGCCAAACACTTGTCTGATTACATTACCTGTGAATTTCTTTGAATTCCCAATACTGATATGTAGATAGGTGTACCTGCACGCAATGTGAAAGGCGATCCACAGTTCCAGGATGAGAGATCATATCCTTCTCGAGAATTGCAGCATCGGTCTAAGAAAGCTGTAGGCGGATATAGCCTTAAAACTTCGTCCACCACCTGCCGTAGATATACCAATCCGGTAACGGTGTCGTAGCTCAGTTGCTGGTTATGGCTAGACTGAAAGGCAGCACGGAGCTCCGCCCGCAATCGATGTTGAATAGTCGGATTTTTTGCCAGTTCGTACAGGGCAAAAGTTATGGTGGAAGACGAGGTGTCAAAGCCAGCCAAAAGCAGAAAAGCAGCCTGGGCTACGAAAAAGTCTGGCCGATGGACTATGCTTTCTGCAGGTTCTGTACCCTGTAACTGCAAAAATATATCAATCAAATCGTTGCGTTTCTCTCCATTTTCTGCGCGTTGGGCAAGGGCGTAATTCATAGACTTGCGCATAAATCGTTCGTACTCTACCGAATAAAGATGAGTGCGAACCCTGTGCGACAGTCGCGGGAAAAAGAACATTGTAAACAGGTGTAACAAGCGCTTCGGCCTTGGGTCGTTGACTTCAATACACATTCGACGAAACTCTGCCTCGGGATTTTGCAAACTATGCGCCTCTATGCCAAAAGCCAATGATGCAATAATGTCAGTTGTGAAGAGAGCGCACAATTGTTTGACCTCCAGTTCAACACTTTCTGCGCCATTTAGATTTTTCTCCATATGAGCCTCGAGATTCTGTCCAATTTTTTGCAGAAGGCCGTACATTTGACGCACCTTTCCTACAGCAAAGAAGGGCGCAAAGATCTTATGCGTCTCCCGCCAAGTCTCATATTTGGAAAAGAATAGGTTCTGGGAGCCCATTGTATCACGTATCGCATCTGTCGTCTCAAAGCGGCTCGAGAATTGGGCAAAGTCTTCGACCAAAATGCGTTTGATCAGAGCCGGATCTCGGATAAGTAGTGCTTGGTTGTGCAGTACGTGGATTCCTACAAAGGCGCGGCCGGCAGCTTCCTTACTTTCATACAGCTCTCGAAACTGATCGCCGAAGCAGCAGGCTCCACACAAAAGGTTCCACACATTTCCCACGAATGGAGCTGCCGGAACGTAGGGGACGCCCAAACGTCGCCAAAGGCAGAAATGTCTGCGTTGCCACAACCAAACGGTTATCAATGCAAACAGCCATCCACCGCTAATGACCAACGGAAGCAAAACGAGTGATCCAACAGCAAGAGCTGCGGAAAAAAATAAAAGAACAACGATAACCATATTTCTGTAGTGTCTGTCCACAAATGCACATATTTGCCAAAGTGCATCACATCAGCTTTATTGATTGTTCGTCGCTATCTGTTCGACTAATACAATTGCATATTTCAAGATTTTGCTCTCATATTACTTTTTGCTCTCTTATAAAGTTGACGCCTAATTGAACAATACACAATTGTGTATTCTGTGCTTTCTGCCAATGTACATTTCTCTCATAACATGAGAGAAAGCTATAGTTAAAACTCTCGACCATCAGATACCTCTTACTCGCACTCCCATTATGCAAGAGAAATCATAATAAAAAAAATGCGAACAAGAAATTTAAAATTTTTTTGGAGAGTCGATAGGAATAGGCAACAAAATTCAGATAAAAATGTCAAAAGTTAAATATTTTTGGTATTCCGATATAAACTGGGAAGCCTAATAATAAAACGAAACAGAAGAGGATTTTATAGCCGAGTTCTCCCTCCGACTATTAGATATCCGTTACTCAGCTAGAGGTAGTGCGAACGAGATATTTCCACATTTTCTGGATCATCCGTGGAAATTGGGCGGTGTGTGCGTTAGAGTGGGTGTGGCAAAAAGGTTTTCGGCACATCGATAGAAATTTACAAAACTAATAAAAACATGAGAAAAATTAACAAAGGTGTGGGCTTGGCAGTTCTTGGCGGTTTGTGCGCGTTAGAGTGGGCTTGCCATAAACTTGCGTCTACAGTGGTGGAAAAAATAATTAAAACAAGAATCGCTCCTGCATGTAAAACAAAATTACTAATTATGTACGAAGTGTGTGTGGATAAAACATTAGCGCATAAGCCACTCATAAGGGTACTTTATTGTGCTCTTCTTTTTGAGTTGATTTCGCTCTTGTTATTTGCGGTACATAGCGATATTTGAAGTGGTCACGTGTTTGAGCAGGAAAAAATAATAGAAACAAGCTATGTTTCTGCGATTTGTTTGAGTTTATCTCTGGAAGCTGCGTGCCTAATTAAAACATTCCATTTATGGATCTTCGAATCGAGGCGTTCATATGGACAGACGGACGTGTTCAGTTCGACTCGGCCGGCTATTGATCCTGATCAAGAATATACTTCCTTTTGCCTGTTATATACTTTTCAACGAATCTAGTATACCCTTTTACTCTATGAGTAACGCGTATACATTTTAAAACAATTTTAGGAGCTTTATGGTAATCTTTCATATCTCCATGCTTAATGTCAATCATTTAGTTTTTAAAGTTCCGAAGATCGACATACATACAAACAGACGAACGGGCATGGCCATGCTACTGATACGGAGTATATATGAATGTATATATACATATGTGCATATATAGGCGTAATATTTATAAAACAATTTGATTTTGGTATAAATGCTATGAATTATGAATTATGTACAAGGTTCTAGAAATACCCATTCAAAGAAATGCAATAATAAGCACTGACGCAAAATCTTGTAAAATCGTTAGTTTATTATACGCTTAAGTCAAGAATTTAGGCACTAATTGCTGCTTTGCGGATTTATTGGTTGCCGGCTGCCCATTTCTTGTATAAAAATATGCTTATTAGGCATTTTGTACAATTAGTGCTGCACAGTTCTCGAAGTTATTTTTTAAAATAAAGATTGAATTAAATAAATTCATATCACGGACATCAACACCAACGGTTAGGGGCCATGCAGATTTGGATGTTGGCCACTTGAATTCTGGAGGGCTTTGGCCACCTCTTCTTGCAAGGTACTGGGTGGATCCGATACAATATCCGTATGCATAGATAGGTACTTCAATTTATTTGTAACAGCTAAAAGTACAATTATGAATATTAATATACTTTAATTTGAGTAAAAGCTTAATTTTTTACCTGGACGAAGATCAATAAGGGAACAGTGCTGATCAACCCAGAGGAAAGCGGTCCGACGTAGCTCATCCAGACTAGCACTCGAGACTGTTGACGTGTAAGAGGCAAGCAAAGGTTCCAGAATCAGACCCAACTGGAAAACAGCAATAATTAATTATAAATATTGATACTTGAACTTTCAAAAATATATATCGAATTTGTTAGAATAGTATTTGGTTTAAGGATAGAGATGGTGTAGCAACATTTTATCCACACACAGACATTTTCTACAGTCAAGATCTAATAAGTTTTAATGTTTTAAATAAAATACGATTTTTGGGTGAACCAAGGTCAATAATGTTAAACAGTCGGAAGGATGAAACGTAACCGTCGCTATGTTAAGCTCATGGTCTATAAGGGAATAAGTCGCTTTTCACTTGCATATCCCCACATCCTTGCACTCCCCCTCGAGCAAGTTCGGGGTATCTGACTACACGTATGTTCGGGGGCTCGACTATAAAGTTTTATCTTGTTCTACTTACAATCCAAAACTTCCAATCGTTCATTGTATTGTATCGCACATAAATGTCGTAAAGCTGCCGAACATGTTCCGTACCCTGCCTCGTTACAGGTGCTCCATTAGCTGGCAAAATTGAGTGAAGGTGCCTAATATAAAAAATAATATCTTAATTTATTGGACTGTATGGTGTCTTGGGACATGCTCACGTTAGCGAATTGTTTAGCTCGTCTCGCTCCATACGCAGAGCTTCAATTTTATCCTTTAAAACATTGCGCTCCTGTCGCAGTTGCTTTATGTGGTCCGCTCCCTTTTGCAGCATGGCCGCCTTGCTTAACTTGGCGTTGGGATTTTGCTGTAGCTGTGGTATAAGCGCGTGTAGAGTGTCGAATCCGTTTTTTATATTGTACCGCCGCTTCTGCTCGGCATGGATGTGACCAGCACGACGCTGCGTGTCTCTCGGCTGTAATTTAAGGCTGGTCGTGGGTGACAGTGGGGAATCCTGAGACTCGTGAAACGGCGATTCCGGTGACAAACTCAAGCTATTACTGCCCACGTTAGCTGTGCTCAGCCCAAAACCGTGTATTTTGCTCCCTAGAGGGGGGCTGTGCAGTGCAGAGTTGATAGCCATAGGCAAGGAGGCGGACTTTTTTGGTGACTGTTGCGGTGTTGGCACCGGAACCGACAACGGTGATGTGACATTAGCGTACAGAACCGGAGGCGCATTGATGTTGTTGGTAGTGGTGGCTATGGCACTAACGGAAGATGAATTTGATGGCGAACTGTTCGCCACTGCTGTTTGCAGGCGTGAATCTAAAATTGTAAATATTTAAACACAAGTTGTTAAGAGAATACCAAAAATTACTTACTCGAAGTGAGCAATTGAGCCAGGGTGCTGTTTAGCATGGGATCGCTGGTTGCCTGCTGCATTTGCTGGGTGACCAGCAGGTTGCTGCAGCTATGTGCGCTTAATGAAGAACTTCCCGCTCCGGCTGCAGACACCACAGAAGTGTGTTGCTGGTGCATCGAATTACTGCGCACCCTCGACTTGCCCTTGGAGTGATACTTGGGCACTGCAAAGGGCTGCTCATGATGCAGCTGTCGACCATCGGGCAGTTTATTAAGCGAAACATTTAGTGGCAAGCTGTTGGAGCGATAGATTTCTTTAGGCAAAATGGTGTTTGGCGACACCCATGTGGCTGAGCTGACAGCAGTTTGAAGTTGCTGTTGCTGGTGGTTTTGCTGGTGGTGCTGCTGCTGCAACAAGCTAGCCACCGTGGATTGATGATGCTGTTGCTGTGTATTGCTAAGCTGCTGCTGACGTGTTAGCTGCAGAAGTTGTTGATTGCCCAGGCCTACGGGAAGCGACTGTTGCATTTGCGGGGGTTCTTGCTGCAGATAACTTGGTTGCTGCTGCGTTTGCCTGGGAACATTCAGAAAAGTTCCCGTCGAGGCGGACTTCTTAAATTGCGGATAGGGCTTGTAGCCAATAGAGTTGTATGCATTGTCGTTTAGTAATGACAGCACATCTGCATGTAGAGGCTCCACCTTGACGTTGAGTTGCTGCTGATGCTGTTGCTGATAGTTATCCGCGTAACTGGTTATAAAACTCTGATTATTGAAGGCGTTTGTCGCCTGGGCCGAAAAGGGTTGCTGAGCGAGCTGCTGTTGCTGGGGAGCCTGAAAAGAAGGGACTACCACGTGTTGCTGCTGCTGGTTCTTCTGCTGTTCGGCCAACATCTGCTGATAAAGGTTCGTCTGGTGCAATGTGGGCTGAGCCTTGTCGTAATTGTGAGGCTCGCGTCGGAATGGCCGCTGAGTGCTCTTGGCCACGCGTCCGTTAATAACGCACCTATTGCTGCTGTTGTCGTTTGCGCTGGAAGTTCCGAAATGCTTGCCTCCGTGTATCCGTCCGGACATTGAACTCGGGTCTCCAAGAAGCTGAGAATCATTGGTGGATTGCTGCACCTGACGTGCAGCAGAAAATCGTTGCTCTACCTCACTGTACGACATGTTATTTATGGGCGTGTTGAGCTCCAGCATGCTTGCATCCACATTTACAGCGCCACTATTACTGCTATTTACTACATCCATTATGCTATCATTGCAATACAACGTATGAGGAGCCCCGACAATCGCTGACAGGCAATATTCGTCGTTCTTGAGCATTTCAGCGTCGGTTCCCTCTTCAGGAACTGGAGGCAAGCGTGTGGTTGGAATCAAGTCTGTAAAAAAGTTTTGGAGTGTTTCATCTTTAATAAAATTAACAACTCTTCATACCTGAAAAACTAATGTCGATGTCATCTAAATTCGGTTGCAAGGGACCCAGACTGGGCTGTATAAAGTCTGCGATGCCCGCGCCGCGCGCTGAGAAATGATTAGCATTAGACTTTGGCGATGTATTATAAATTTTTGTCTATTATTACGCACCGATTTCCCTAGAATCAGGAAACGGGAATGGAACGTTTATAGCCGAGAATAAAGTGTCTGTGGTCCAATCGTCTGGCATTAAGTTCCTATCGTTCAGTGGCGACCATTCCAAAAAGTCCAATTCACTTTTCTGTAAAAAGGATAATTTTAGTGAATGTTAATTAACTTAAAGCTGCTTATTTAAAAGAAATTCGTAAGAATCGTATGTGTTTGGAATAGAATAAAATATAATAATTTTTGTTTGAACATTTATATAGCTTAAGATACAGAAGTTGTTATTAGAAAATGTATAAAATCATTTAGATTAGACACTAGAGAGATTTCCTTAGTCGATGTCAACTATAATCAGATACGAGGAAAATTGGGATATTCAAACAATAGTAGAAAAGACTCGTTAGGAAAACAAAAAACAAACGTAACTGTTTGATTGAATAAAAATCTTTTAGTATATAATATATTATATATTATCTCTGAGGTTAAAACGGCCAAAATAATATTATTGCCTGTGAAGCAACATGTTATTTCTCATAATTTCTTCTATTCCTTCAAAAATTTAAATAATTTTTTTACACAAGTAACTGTAATTCTCTATTCTCTAAGAATGTAAAGTTTTGTTTGGTTCTCTTCTTGTTTTACATTCTTTTTCGCCTTTAATTTCAAAGATTCACATGTATGACCCAGTCAAAATAATAGTAACGCCAGATAAATTGACAAGAATAATTAAATTTAATCGCTATTTAGCCAGGTTTTTGGTATTTTACAAGAATCTTGGGTGTTTTTTAACAGTTCCCACCAATTTTAGACTCATTATTAGACCATTACATTAGACCGTTATTGATATTAAATACCGAGTCCAAGGGGCGTGGTAAGCACTGTTCTTTCGAAAGGCGGGAACTCATTAAAAAACTGATTTATATCTACTATGAGTAGAAATGTTATTGACTAGTTATTGACCAAAAGGTCAGTAGACCGCTTAGCAAGACAAGCAAGAATCGAGCCTTTCGCGTCTGCTGCGGCACTAAATAAAATTTGTAATCCTAATGAAATAGTTTGGAAACAATAAGAAGGCGTCTCATTTCATGAAGTCCAAAAAAAGTCCCTTCACTACCAAAAAAAACATGCAGCCAAACGTTTGAAGTTTGCAAGAGACCACTTGAATTGGCCTTTGGAGAAGTGGGGAAATATTTTGTAGTCGGATGAGTCCAAGATAGTTTTGTTTTTAGGCCATGCCTCTCGCCAGTTTGTTAGACGACCTCCCTTATGTGCTTTATTTCCGAAATATACCTCAGGAAAGGTTAAGCACGGTGGATCATCGATTATGATTTGGGCGAGATTTTCGTTGCATGCCACTTGTTTGGACGTTCCAACAGGACAATTATCCAATGCAAACAAGTAAACTCACCAAAGAGTGGTTCGCAGTGCTGTGCAGGACTTACATAGCAGGACTTTACATAGATTAAATAATTTAAACTTAAAATGTTTTACTTGGCTGTGATGCTGTTTGAAAACATGCACTATTATTATTTTGACCGATCCAATTTCACATTTTCATTTCTTTCTGAAAAGTCTTATGACTTATCCAAAGTCAATTTTCATTATTATCACCTCTTATGAGTTAAGTTTCATTGAAAATTAAAAAAAAATGTTAACACATTTAGAAGTTTTTTTTTTTGATTGTTTGAGAACCTCTGTGGGCACTACTAATATTTTGATTGCAGCATGTTTGATTGTATGTGATTGTGTACCTTTAACAGTGAAATTCTTTTTAATGAATATAGTATACCCTTTTTCTATATGAGTAAGAAGCATCATATAATTACAATCCAAATAACATGAATGCGTCCTACATAAGCATAGGTAGGATGAACTAACTAGATGTTCGATTTTATACGGAATTCATATTGCTTGAATTGTGTAAATTTAATAGTTATACCCTTTACTCGTAGAGTAAAAAAGAGAGTAGAGTTGAAAAGTATGTATCAGGCAGAAGGAAGCGTTTCCGACATATATAGTATATATACGACGATGGAAAGTATATATATTCATGATCAGGATCAATAGCCGAGACGATCTGGCCATGTCCGTCTATCCGTCTATATGAACGTCGAGATCTCAGGAACTATAAAAGAATGCAGATTCTTTGGGAACTCGAATATAGCATTATATCTTGTTTTGGCATAAATTGGTTGACAAATATGCAGTTGTGCCGTGCCCTAACTTTGCTGGGATTTGTATCTTGGTGCTTTTTGGTAAACTTTCAATTCACCTGTTATGCCAGAATGGTGTTGGCCTAGAAAAGTCCAGCTCCATCTCAATGGCTGAAGTGTAAGGATGTTTATGAACCCACGATGAAATCCTGCTATTGGGTCAAAGAGAACTGATTGCCGTTTATGGTGAAGTCCTACTGTTTCTATTTATGTTCCAGGTCATACAGTATATATAAATATTTTACTTCAGCAACCTAGAGGGGTTTCATTCAAGCAATATGTGATTCTCATTTTCTGTTGGCTGAGACCGATGCTCTTCTATTTTATACCTACCATTAGTCGTTAATGACATACATAATTTAGGTTAAACATAGTTTATGTTAACGCTTGACCGTCCTTTCAATGAAAACATGAAAAGTGTTATAATCAGATGTAAGGACTAAGTGATACTTATTTATTTTTCGTTTATCGAAATCGGTACTAAGCTTTCGTCAGGAATATATTATGTTCGTGTGATCGTTATTGGTATTAAAAAATTGTATAGATTTATCTGCCTTCAAGTACTTATGTTACGTTGTTTATAGACATTATTCATAATTATCAGGCCAACGCAAAATTCGCTTGTTCTTAGTTGTCCAAATACTTTAGGTACGAGGTGCTCTACGAAAAACTGGCATTTAGAAGTCATCCACAAAAATAGCGGTTCAGCTCAGTTCATCAATCATTCGATATGGACTTCCAACCGGGTGAACTCTGTGCTTACTACCGGCTTTGCCGATATCTGGGGATATTCTGCATTGATTATAATTCCACTAAAAAAAAGTTCCGGTTGCGTCGCAGCGTACTCTGTTACGTAGTTCACTTTGCCTTGCAAGCCTACTTAGTTGGTTGCATGTTCGTCATGTTTACATATTGGCGCAGGTGCTTCAAAAGCGAGCTTACCACGACTGGAAACCACTTCGATCGGCTTGTTATGGTGATGGCCCTTGGTATACTGGTTGTCCAGAATGCGTGGCTTATCTGGCTGCAAGCCCCACATCTGCGAATTGTCAGGCAAATAGAGTTTTACCGACGGAGGCACTTGGCTAATGTTCGCCTACTTCTCCCCAAACGTCTGTTTTGGTTAATTATTGCAACCAATCTTCTCTACATGGCTAACTTCATCAAGACGTGTGTATTCGAATGGCTGACGGATGCTCCTCGATTTTTTGTCATTACCTCCTTGGGATTTCCTTTACGATATCTGGTTACTAGTTTTACAATGGGCACATACTTTTGCATGGTGCATATTATACGCCTGGTGCTCAGATGGAATCAGTTGGAGATTAACGCAGTTATAGAGGAATTGGCCGACCTCAAAAAGACTGGCCCCAACCGTCTGCGTTTACGCGCGTGCTTGGAGATGCATGATCGCCTGATGCTGCTCTGCAATGATGAGATCAGTCTTGTCTACGGGTTCATCGCTTGGCTGTCGTGGATGTTTGCCTCGCTTGATGTAACTGGAGTAATTTATCTGACTATGGTTATTCAGACTAACAAATCAATCGTTTTAAAATTGATAACAAACGTTGTGTGGCTTTCGCCAACTTTTATGACGTGCGCCGCTAGCTTCATGAGTAACCGTGTTACCATTCAGGTAAGTTTAAATTAATTCGATCCACTTATAGTTGACGTATATATATGGGCAATAATTTAATATATACAAATTTTAAAGGGCCTGTAAGGTCAGCTGTGTTCCGATTTCACACATATATAATATAAATTATTCTGACACTTAATTACCTATGCTTAGATGCTCTTTTAGTAAAGTTCCGTTAATATTGAAAGGACGAAATAGATACGCAACTTTGTCGGGCTGTAACTTTCCGTAAGGTTACTCGGTGTTGAGTTGCGAGTGTTTATTCTAACGTTTAAGTGCCTTGGTTTATTCTGCACTCGTCGTGAGATTCACAACGAAAAACAGATGAAACAATTATTTTGATAGGATTCAATACATTTAAAATACATACAAACCAAAAAAAAAAAAAAAAAATACTCAGCTAATGGAAGTGCGAACGAAAAATTTTAACATTATCTGGAATATCAGAATATTTGGGGAAAAGAAAACAAGACTAATAAAAAAATTAAATAATATCAAAATTCTATTTGAAAGTGTGGTCGTGACAATTTTGGGCGGTTTCGGGGCTTTAGAGTGGGCGTGACAGCAATTGGAAACAAACTTGGCTTGCGTATATGGTTCTGGAAGCTGCAAGCTTAATATTCTAGCTTTTATAGTTCCTGAGATCGAGGCTTTTATACGGTCAGATGGACGGACGAACAGACGGACATAGCCACTTTGACTTGATTATTGATCCTGATCAAGAAGACATATACATAGTATTGTCGGAAACGCTTCTTTCTGCCTGTTACATACTTTTCAACGAATCTAGTATATCCTTTTACTCTCTAAAATGTTTCTGAAACACTTTCAAAAAAAAATTTTTTTTTACAATTTTTTTTCCCCCACTTTCTACCGATATTCCAGAAAACGTCGACATTTCCATTACCTGAGTAATGGGTATCTGATAGTCGGGGACCTCGACTCTCTAGTATTATTACGAAGATTGCCAGTTCTTAACAATGTAAGCCAATGTAAGCAAAGTACGTTTTTAATGCTTTAAATGTTTTTGTAAAATATGATATCAATATAATAATTCATTCGAGTACATGAGAAAGAAAAACTAATATTTTTACGCTTACTGTATGTTTAAACACCAAGACTTAATCCATTAGGGGTGTTTATCCTAAGCAAGATAGGCAAATATGTAAACAACGAACTACTAGAGCAAGTCCCTGAAGTGCTTCTGTTAGATATATTTTTGTGAAAACACAATAAATTAATCTGCTTTACAATATTAGTGATTAGTTGATTGACGCAAACCAAATGACGCGCAACGCATTTGAAGAGTTGAGGGTTCAGCTACGAACCCTGAGATGGCTTGGAGTCCTGCAGTTCAGTATCGACTTTAAGAAGTGCATAGTCCGGGATAATGCTTCAGAGAAGCGCAGTGCCTGGCTTTATTTGATGTGCGTAGTGGGAATCACGTGCAGCTTGATCATATATAGCACCTACTATCCCAGTCACTTTATTATGGGAAAACACAACAGCACTGGCAACTGCTATGCCCTAATCAACATCAGGTCAAGTTCCGTTGTTACACTGCTGATTTACATTCAGCTCTATATACAACGTTTTCGATTCGTCACCCTCTTGCAATCCGTGTTACGTTTTAACCAAATCTCTGGAAGTCACAGAGAAGAAGAAAGATTTGCTTTTTATTATTTTACACATTTATCCCTACTAATCATTTGCATGCTGAACTATGCTCACGGTTACTGGACAGCGGGTGTTCGCTTGACCACGATTCCTATTTATCTGCTTCAATACGGATTTTCCTACCTTATTCTCGGACAGGTGGTTGTCCTGTTTGTCTGTATACAACAAATATTACTTTCGATTTTAAAATACTATAATCAAGTACTTCTTATAAACGTTAAATCATGCACGGAGAGTCGCGAATTCTATGACAACTTTTGCAAATACAACAATGTAATGCGGCTAAGCTATATCGAGATCAATCATTGTTTTGGTTTGCTACTTTTACCCGTAACCGGATTAATTCTGCTGATCACCCCTTCTGGGCCGTTTTATCTGGTATCCACTATATTTGAAGGACGATTTCTTCAGAATTGGCGTTTTATCTTCATGTCGTTAACTGCCATACTTTGGAGCCTGCCTTGGATAGTTTTGCTGGTTTTGGCAATGGGCAGGAATGATGTACAAAAGGAGGTTAGTAAAGTTGTGTACTACCGTTGCATTGTTGTTTGTTTTTAAAATAACTGTAGTTTTCTATGTTAAAAACCAGTGCGGTGTGTGTAAAGGTTTAACAGTTATATTTTTCACCATTAACGGAACACAAGAGAATGCTAACCTCGCGTTCCTCGACAATCAGATACCCGTTGCTCAGCTGGTGGGAGTGCGAACGAAATATTTCAAAATTTATAGCTAGAGATTTGGGCACAAAATAATAAAATGAAAAAAATTTTTCAAAATTTATTTGTAGACGCTAGAATTAGTGCTTTATACAGCGTTAAACTGCGGCAAGTTTAATTTCATATAAATTTTCTTTTGAAAAATCGTAGTCAAAGCATATTCAAAAATGAAGGCTCGACGTAAATCAAAACAATGAAAATTAATTTATGTATTTATTGAACTTAATTTACTGTTATCACTATAAGAAATTTGAACATAATTAATTTCTGGCCAAAACTATTACTGCGGAACTCAGAGAGATACATATTTTGTTTGTTTGTATACCCGTTGCTCGTAGAGTAAAAGGGTATACTATATTCGTTGAAATGTATGTAACAGGCAGTAGAAAGCATTTCCGACCATATAAAGTATATGTATTCTTCATCAAGATCATCCGTCTGTCCATATGAACGCCTCGATCTCAGGAACAACACAAGCTACAATATTGAGATTAAGCATTCCAGAGACATAGACGCAACGCGAGTTTGTTTCCAAACGTTGCCACGAACACTAACGCCCACAAACCGCACTTAAAATGCAAAATAATTTTTAGCGAAATATATATCACTCAACAAGTACTGGGTTTAATGTGAACAAATGTTTCAAGCCTTCATTAACAGAAAAACGCTTTGAGGGCATCACATTCTCTAAAAAGAATAGGGTGTAAAGAGATTCAAGCAAATGGACACCAGCACTCTTGTCAGTGTATCAGAAGAAGGGACTCCGAAAGGTGTGGGAGGCAATTAAATAAATTCCTAGGCTACACAGCAAAACTAATCAATTACCCTGAACATATTGACAGTGTCATATCGTGTAAATCAACAATGAAATTGGATATGAATTCAGTACATTTGTTAGTTCGCAGCGAACCATCAACTGTATAATGTCAAACGTCTGCCGGGACCTACGTTTTTATCTCCTTCTACTTCACATCATGGGCTTGATGTGCTGGCATTTCGATTCCGAACACTGTCAACTAGTGGCCACATCCAGAAGCGAGCGCTATGCCGTCGCTTATGCTGGCTGTATTTTAGTTTCTACGACGGCCTGCTTCGTCTTTGCCCTCCTTCAGCCAAGTCGATTCCACATAGCCATTTACAACAGGACGGGAAATTTTTACGAGGCCGTCATATTTCGCAGCACGTGTTTGGTGCTGTTCGTGGTCTATGTGATTTTGTATGTGAGGCGTCATCGACACAGGGATTTGATTCAACGTCTATTACGTCTTAACAGAAGCTGTGTAGGCAGTTGCACAGACCAACAGTTTCTGCACAACATAATACTTTACGGCGTGCTCACGATCCTCTGTTTCGGCAACTATCTCCATGGCTACACTCGCGCTGGACTAGCCACAGTTCCGATGGCCCTTTGTATTGTGGTCTATATCTACACCTTTTTGGTTCTCTGCCTACTGCTGATATTCTTTGTTAGTCTTAAGCAAGTGATGACCGCGGGATTGATTCACTACAACCAACAGCTTTGTCAGGGCAATCTGGCCTCTGGTCTTCGAGGCAGGCAGCAGATCCTGAAAGCGTGCGGCGGCGAAATGAACGAGTGCTTCGGCATACTTATGCTGCCGATTGTAGCCCTGGTGCTCCTGATGGCTCCTTCGGGGCCATTTTTCTTAATTAGTACCGTGTTAGAGGGCAAATTTGGCTCCGACGAATGCTTGATCATGCTCTTGATCTCCTCTACTTGGGATACTCCGTGGCTGGTTATGTTAGTTCTCATGCTACGCACTAATGGTATATCAGAGGAAGTGAGTTCTTTGCGGGTCAATAAGTAAACTTTTACTTATTTACGAAAACATTTACAATTGCTTACATAATTTTTTGCAGGCAAATAAAACAGCAAAGATCCTGACAAAAGTACCTAGAACCGGAACTGGTTTGGATAGAATGGTAAGCGGATTATGTTTCGCATTTGCTTAATAGTAGTGACATTTGCAAGTAAAGTAGGAAAAACATCACTATTAGATAAAAACGAACTTTTTCATTAGATAATTATAATTTTTATATCCCAGATTGAAAAATTCTTACTCAAGAACCTTCGACGGCAGCCCATTCTAACCGCTTATGGATTTTTCGCTCTGGATAAAAGCACTTTGTTTAAGGTACATTTTGTATTTCAAAGGCATAATTGATAGCTACATTTTCTTATTGATTTAGCTATTTACGGCAATCTTCACGTATATGGTTATTTTGGTCCAATTTAAGGAGATGGAGAATTCTACAAAGTCTATTAATAAATTTTGATCACTTACCGAATCATATGTTAAGCACCCCGTAGCCTTCGACCGATAGTTTCTACGCCATTTTCTGTATTCGGCTTTAATTACAGCTGAGTGCCGTTTCCAGTACTTTCCTTCAAGAACAACAGTCTGTGTGGTTTATAAAATAAAGAAAAAGCACGATGAGAAAAGAAATCCGAATAAATTTCCCAATCAAAAGCAATATTTTTTAAGTAATATTCTGACATAATCGAACGTCTGTCAAAGATCAAATGTAAAGGAGTTGCAAAAAATATAGGTCACTTTGTGCAACCCATTTAAATTAGAACTCCGAAACTCAGATCTCATTTAAAAAAAGACAATTGTACGTTCATTAATATTACATTCACGAACGTCTTTTAAAAAGAGTTTTTCGCAAAACCCAAAAACCAATAACAATACTAACAACATTCTTGAAAAACAACCCCAATAAGAGATACACTCTACCTAACAGCATAATCCATTACATTACTTAGTATTGTCCTAAGCACATATACAATGAATTTATAAAAATCATCATATAAAAAATGAAAATATAAAAATAATATAAAATAAAATATCTTCAGAAAAGTCGACAAATAAATTTTTGTTGTTCGTATATAGCAGTACTATATAAAGTAGAATACTTTCAGAAAATACTAACTAAACATTTCGGAGTTATTTTTATTTACGACCCTAAGGCTTTCCTTGTAACCCTTGGAATTATCAAACTCTTGGTGTATGGCACATATTAAAGATTTTATTTCCAATCAAAGCATAATTTAAATGGGGATTTATTTCTAACCAAGAATAACAAAATATATATACAATTCTTACATATTTTTAAGTAAATGTTGAACCATACCAAAACTTGTAAGGTTAATTTTTTAAATTTAGAAATTTTATAAAAATCAACTAATACCATACAAAACATTAAAAAAAGTTCGTTTTTGTTGAATTGAAAAAAATGGTATTAAAGGGGGATTCTTAATGGTTGATGATTGTTCTAATATTTTATGTTATATTTAATATAATATATATATATTATAATTGCTTTTATTTATTCAAAAACTACATTACCTCTTGTCAAGGTAGTCTGAAATCAGACAAATACACCTCTTAGCGAGGTAATTTAAATGAGACTTTGGGACCTTCTAATGAAAAATTTCGTGATTTAAAATTTTGTTTATTGAATTAAAATGTTGTAACTGTAAATAATAAAAATAGTTTCGATTTCGAAACTGAACTGCAAACTATCTGACATTGTAATCAAATAGAATTAAATACTTCTTTAATTTTTTTGTAATATATTTTAATAATGTTTCTATTTAACAACTGAATTTGTCCGTGTTGAAGGTTACCTCATTAAGAAGATTTCATACCCGTTACTCGTAGCTAAAAGAAACGGTTTCGAATCCATAAAGTATATTATTTTTGATGTGTTTCAATAGCCTAGTGTCCCATGTCCCTATGAACGTCAAGATCTAGGAAACTATAAAAGCTAGAAAGTTGAGATTCTAGTAATGTCTGCACTGCGTAAGTTGCCACGCCCCCAAAAACCGCCTAAATGTTTAATTTTCGAGCAACTCGACTGCTGAGTTTTCTCTTGTTTTGGTTGATATTACTTTGGTTGATTACAAACTTAAAATGAAAAAACGTATCAGAATTAAAATATAAAATAATTCCATGGCAAATAGTTAAACGATGACAAAAAAAATGTTTATGCATTATGGTACTTAAGCTCTATCTCAGTTTAAAAATAAAAATGCCCCCCTCCAATAGGTTCATGGCACCTAAAAATAACACCACAAAAGTCCCGCTGCTCTTATCACTTGTCGCTAAAGAGAATCCGCCCGAGAGTAGCCGGTAGGACCATGGGGTCCAAGCCGTATCTAACCCTGGTATTTAATGGCGTACGACAATCGTGCGACGATCACGCCGCTATCGAGTGATGCCTTTCTTTCTAGCAGCGTAAGCCTCCTACTCTCGCGGAGAGTAGTGTTTTGATGATACCAATCCAGGCGTGCGCCACATTTCACAAGTAACCCCGTTTATGATGCGCATCGATACGAAGTGGACTAATCAATGCCATTTATAGTGGTAAAACAGGAGAGAACGCTATATACAAGTATATCAGTTACCCGTTACTTAGCTAGTTTGAGTGCGAACGAGAAAGTTCAACATTCTTTTTGGAATAGTGATAGAAATAGGCAAGAAAAACAAAATTGTGGGCGTGGGAATTTTGGAGTTAGATGAGCCGTGCCCATAATATTTTTAACATATCGATAGAAAAGTGCGAACGAGTGCGAACGAGAAAGTTCAACATTCTTTTTGGAATAGTGATAGAAATAGGCAAGAAAAATACAATTGTGGGCGTGGGAGTTTTGGAGTTAGATGAGCCGTGCCCAAAATATTTTTAACATATCGATAGAAAATTGAAAAGCAAACATTTATTAAAATTGTGGCCGTGCCAATTTTGGGCGATTTGTAGGCGTGGCACCATCAAGAAAAACAATTTCCGCTACTTTCCGCTACGAATCTAGTATACCTTTACCCTACGAGTAGCGGGTATAATTTTGTAAGCCATGACTGGAGCAAAAAATATGGGATATGAAATGCCTTTATGTATATTATAACATATGGGAATATACATATTGGAAACCGCTACGATTTTATTCATAAATAATATGAATTTTCTCTTTAAAAAATAAAGGGGTTCATTCGTGTTCGTTGAAGTGCGTTACAAACCTGCGGGTTTTACACATACAGATTTGAGGAAGTTCGATTAAGGAACTTAATAAGACTATCTGTAAAAGTTTAAGTGCCGAAGTTCCATCTTTTTACACCTTTGAAAGGGTAGTGGCAGTGTTAAAAGTTTATAACGCAGAAGGGGCGAATATATAGGTTAACTAGCCACCATTAGCAACACACAATTTTAAAGATCTCTATTACAAACTTTAACAAAAGAAAAAAACAAGATAGAACGCTATAGTCGAGTTCCCCGACTATCAGATAATTAAGAAACAAATTTAACTTTTTTCAAAAGTGCGGGCGTGACAGTTTTGGTAGAGTGGACGCGGCAAAAAGTTTTTTGGCAAACTTATAGAAATTTACAAAATACATATGTATATAAAAAAATGAAAAATATCGCATTCTGTCAGTTTTGTGCGGTTTATGGCGTTAGAGTGTTCGTGGCGACATTTGTAAACAAACTCGCGCCGCGTCTTTGTATCTGGAATGCCTAATCTCACCAATCTAGCTTGTGTTGTTTCTGAGATCGAGGCGTTCATACGAACAGACGGACATGTCCAGTTCGACTCGGGTATTGATCCTGATCAAGTACTTTCAATATATATAAGAATATATAACGTTATAAGGTCGGGTTCTGCCGTTACATACTTTTTAAGAAATTTATAATAATTTGGGTACAATCCTTATATGAAAAATTGAGTTTACTAGATATACACAGAATCTAATGAAGCCTACGATACTCCAGTTTCATTCGAGTTGAAGCCATGCACACTATCAATACGCGGTCAAACAGCAAAAACTTGAATATTATAATATTTGTTGTATATTTTTATCAACAAATATGCCAATACATTCTAAATACATTTTAAAGTTTCAGGAAGATAAATATGCGTTCATAGTATAAAACTAGATTCATTCAAAGGAGTATAACAGTTATAAAGAGCCTTGAAGTGTACATGTATCGTCTTGATCAGGATCACTAGCGGATCAGATATATATTTTATGGGGTCGGAGACGCTTTTTTCTACCTGTGTCATATACATATATATATATATATATCATCGAATCTTGTATACCTTTTTATTGTACGAAAAACGGATATAAATATTAAAAAGACTTAATATGTATCATTAACAGTCATTAAGTCGCTAGCTAATGAAGTTCCCAGAAGGAAACGTTTCCGACCCCATATATAAAGCAAATACATTCTTGATCACGATTACTAGTCTAGTCGATCAGCAATGACCGCCCATATGTCTGTATGACCGCTGTGATTCGGCACATACGATATAACTATTTATACAACTATGAAATCCATTTCAGATTAATCTTTAGTTAAGGAAAAGATTTCGTATTTTCCCACAATAAGTTTGTGCTAAGTGCAATGTAGGGATATATTACCGTTATTAAATCGATTTAAAATAACAAAAGATTAAATAATAATCGCAGGAAATAAATTTTACATAAAATAACCTTATTGTTAGAATGTACTACGAGCCTTTCCGCGTAACCAAATTATTTAAAAGGATTTCAGTTGGCAATATTTAAATCTACAGGTACTTACTTGAGGATTACTATGTATGTCAACGTCCAGCGGCGACGCAAATTGACACACCGGGGTTCTGCGCTTTTGTATGACTGCAAAAATGAAAAAACACACAAACACCGTTTAGTATGGAAAACATAAAAAACGACGTGATAAGATTCTGGGGATAGATAGAGATAGTGAGTTCCCCAGAGATGACAAAATGTGTCAGAAACACGTGTCATTATACCAGTGGTTCGTCCTAACAACTATCTGTAGAGCTGTGACGTAACTAACAATTGTTTAACAAAGCAAACTGCTGTTAAATATTACTTGAAACTTTTGGACATAAGGAAACAAAGAATACCCTAGAGGTTTTGTGTCAGCAGAGGGTACATTAAGAATTCATAAACGCAAAAGTAAACCTGTTTTTGGATGAAAATTTTTAAAAAATCGGATTCATAATCGTAAAAGGGCTGAAGACAATCTTTATTAAATAAATAAATTTTAAAAAATTGTTTATAATTGTTCTGATATTTTAATATATAAAAACATAATTTAAAAAAAAACTTGATTGTCATTTCACTATGCTAAAAATTCTGAAATTAAATTAAGCCACCTCTTAGCAAGGTAAAATAAAAGACACATCGGAAAATTTAATTTGTGATTTAAAATGTTGTGAATTATTTTTAAAAAATGTATTACAAATATTATAAATAGTTTCGAACTCGAGACTAAACTGCAAAAAAAAAAAAATTTGAAAGCAGTTAAATTTTTTGTAAATGTTATCCTATTAAATATTGAAAATTTCCCGTGTTGTAAGTGTGTCACTTTGATCTCTTTTACCCCGTTAAGAGGTTTTTATGTTTAATGTCACAAGCATTTATAGAAATTACATGAAAACGGGACAACAGGAGTAAAGAAAAAAGTTGCAGTATCAAAATTATATTAATACCAAGAAAAATAGTAAAACAAAAAATAGTTGACGAATCAGTTGAAGTATTTATAATATGAAGCAAATTTATAGGTGATACTATTTAGGTGAAATTTATAGTCGAAAACAAATTATAATCCATGCATTTTTGTTTGAATACCTTTAGCATATTTAACTTTCAACACAACGGTCAAATTTTTTGTCAGATTTAAAAAAATACACATATAACTGAAATATTTAAAAATAAATGAAAACACTTCCTCCGAAGGAAATTGGGTTCAGAAACTGAAACAAGTACCTCAGACTAGACATAACATAGTCCCTGTAATGCAAAGACTTTAGTCTATGAATTTTTCATAAAAAATATAGGCAATTTTTTCATTTTCTTATATTCATGCCAGTATATGGTAAAATAGACTTGGTTTATTTATAGAAAGAAATGAGGTATTTTTCCACAGAGTTATAAACTTTGTTGACCAAGATTTCGTTAGAGACATCGAAAATCCGGAAGACTAATTTTGCGAGTCAATAGAACTCTACGGAAATTCGTGTTTATTCATTTAAAATATGGTACAGTCACGATTAACACAAACAAAAAAAGCGCAGGCAAAATGATCATATATGGAATCGATACAGATTCTATGCTCCCCTTATCTATCCAGGATCTTCACATATTAGGATTATCTTAAGCGTATGGTATATAAACTTAGATAATAACAAAGATTAAAGTACTAATTTAAAGACAAAACGATATTTGCTGATGTGACGGTTGAAGTTGCTACCTATAAATAGGCAAACAAAATTTCCATTTGCCTTTGTCGCCGACTCTAGAAGAGCGAAGAGATAATCACTGCCCTCACGATGTCTTTGTAACACAGGGCTGCCGTCCTCCCACTCGCACAAATGATGTAACGGAAAATTTTGGAAATACTATCAGCAGAAAACTTTGGCAGACTGTCGGCCGACTGGATGGACAAGCTGAATGCATAATCAAACTGATTCGCTGTTTGCCTGACTTATGCTTTATGTCATTTACCTTTGAGACTGCGCCACACTCCCGCCGCGGCTAGAGTGCGCGGGAAACTACGAGGCTGTCTAGACGATCGAGCGGATGGTCTGTAAAATGTAGAAGCGCCGAAATCATATGTTCAGCTTTTAATTACACGCCAGGCAAAAACAAAAGCCAGGAATGAACAAAAATGAAACCACAATCGGCTAGGGTCCAGACTATGATAAGGGCCAGCGGCACAGCCGACCAGACCATGATAAGAAACCGAAGTGGCGAAGGCGAATGAGAAGTCGGGCGATGCCCGCCTGGCAACGCCAATTCATCCAGTCTCCCATCCAGTCAGCTCGACGGGGATCATGCCTAGAATTTGGCCAAACCATATGACAACTCTTGGCCGACAATGGCGAAATGTTAAGCAACAGCTTCAGAAGCGAGAGCGGATGAGAAGATAACTTGTGCTTTAAAAGCTTATGGGTGACCATGGCTCTCTGATTCACTTTGAATTGTTTTCGTTGCTGAGTCTTTTGCACGTGTAGCGCTTTTCAAGGAAATGCTCATCACATTCGTTTATTTGTGTTAGGAATATTTTACCAATGCCGGTGGTGGTCAATCGTGACCACACACAATGATCATAACATGGGAAAAATTCTGTATGGTGCAATCTCATGAGCCTAGACAAATAAATCATGCCTTATCATGTTTTTTACAAGGTAAGGTCAACTACTTCCACATTTTTATTATGCATTTGGAAAACCCTCGCCAAATTTTCTTTTGATTAAATTTTTTTTTTTCTGTATGATATTAAGTTTAAGCATACTATTTGAGGGTTTAATATAATACTCACACTGCATGTGCCAGCAACGCCAGATGACATTGTTCAGGCGAATTTTGTCCTTCCACCGAAGTCGTACTCCTTTGAAATGATTCCATTTAGGTGATGTAAGTTTTTGACTGAAAATTTAAAAATAATTTATGAATTTCTTTATACTATGGAAATTTGTATATCTACATTATCTGTTACAAAGCAAATACATTTTTTTTATTAAATCAATACGCAGATTATGTTATTAAAATAGACTGACCCCCAACCCCAACCCAGATGCAATCTTTTTAAAATCAACCTATATACATATGCGCATCTGTTTACATTTGTATCTGACTTAACAAAAACATCTATTAAATAGTGTGAATGTGTGCAAAAAACTATAGATGCTTTATTAATTGTATTTGTTGACTTTTTTTTATTCTTTTCACTATCCTAGTTGTTGATTCAGTAATAAATACAATAGTTTTTATCCAAAATGTTTCCAAGCCGTGGATGACGAAATTAAAAGTTTTTAATCTGTTTTTTTTTTTGTTTAGAAAAAAAAAACCGTGAAAAGCATAGAAAGGAAGTATAAGCACCAACAAAATATAGCAACATCAATACCCAGGTGTTCAGAAGTTGTGGGCGTAGGAAATTAAGCGATTTATAGATGTTTTCCCGCTAAGCGATCGGGGTTTTTCCAAAAGTGGAATATTGAAATGTTTAACAGAAAACAAACATGTTTATGGATTTTTAAATAAAGTTCTGTTGCAAATAGACAAAAATACAAACCAACCTCCCATAGGAGTAATTTAAAAAATTCCCTAAAATCTTGTTCTGAGAATATCTTTCGACCGGTTCTCAGTTTCTGAGCATTTTTAAAATGATTTGTCAATCAATGAGTATTTTATTAAAAAATTTGAAAATAGTAGTAATTCACTTTTACCGCTTTTTGTCCTTAATCATATAGCTTAAAATCTCTTTATTTTATCCGCTACCTTCCAATGAATATTAGTGTATATGAATATTGTAATTCCCCAAAGCGCACTTAGTCACTATGTGGAATTCCGTCCGTCCATAGGGAACAACAACTGTGAAATCGCATGGTAAAGAAAAATGTATGGAAATCGTAGACACGAACAATATATTATTATTATCCATATTATATATGGATCAAAAAGACAATGGTCGAATGCTGTTTAATTATGACTTATACCCATCACTACCCAAAGAGGGTGATACGAATAAATTTAAAATTTAAGTCTTCTTCATAACATTTTTTTAAATCATATTCTTTCTAGCTCTTTCAAAAATGTAAAAACCAAAATAATAACTGAATAATTCAGATTTGTAGTTGACAAAGTCTTCTCAGATAATAATATCTTGTAAGCAATTTGCTTATAATTTTGCTTTCCATAGCTAAAACAGTATGAAGTGCTCCGAAATCATTTTGATATAGCTTTGACAATACTTTAATATTTCCATTATGATTGCGCTGTCGCTTGCAGAAATGGGAGAAGTACCACCAAAAAGGAGGGGTGTAAAGGGTGCAAGAGGTGGAGGAGCGATTGAGGCAATGTGGGGCCAAAGTAACCCGAGCAGCGACGTCACGTCTCAACATGTGCCGAAGCGGTCCAAGCTTTTTCGGTTGCTGGATTTTCGTTGGCCAGTTTGGCGTTATCACGCGCGAAACGCGTGAACAAGCGGGAAACTACATTTCATAGTTTTTCGGTAACCCAGTGTTCGAGTCTTCAACTCACCTGTAGGCCAGATTCATGCACTTGAAGAGTTTGGTGAGCGAGGTCTCTATCTCCAGATGGGAGGTCACCATGCTCATGCTGCTCTCGTCGCCCTCCTGGTCCATGGCGCTAAAGTGGGCCACTGTCTGGGGCACGTACAGCTGCACGTCGCGACATGTGTTGGTTGGCTCGCCCGGCTTGCCGAGACCGGGGTCCTCGGGGTCAAGCATCTTCACCTCGCCGTCATCCTCCAGGTCGTCCTGCGCTTCCTCGGCCTCAAAGTGCGAGACCATAAACTGGCCGGAGTGTATGGACTCCCGCTCAGCCTTGAGAAGGTCTGCCGTGGCCTCGGCGGACCCTGACGCCGAAGCACCTACTCCCGTTCCGTATTGCAGTGGCTGGAAGTTCTGGGACAGCGACTGTTGAAGATGAGGCTGCTGATGCAGCTGCGGCATCTGGTGCTGCTGGTGGGGGAACATTTGGCTTGTGCGTTGGTATCCCTCGTGTTTATTTAGCATCATTTTCAACAGGTGCCAGAGGATGCTTAAGCAAATAGTTCACTGTTGAGCTAATAAGTTTGGCGGTTGCTGATTATATCGATGGCGAGGGCACATTTAATTGTTTTTTAATGTCTCTCGCGTAGCAATGGCTATTAAAAGCTTGCGCAGGCCCTTTTTTCATTTGGATGGGGATTTTCCATCGTTCTGTAACAGAATTCACGTATCAAAAATATGTAAACGGTGGCTGAGACTTGAATTTAAAAAAATATGTTTCGTCTTGCTTCGCGATTAGCACGTTTAATTATTCTCTACACATTTAGTGTGTTCTTGTCATTCTATTAAATAACTCACTAACTGACGCGATTTTTTGACAGAGACCTAGCACGGTTTTAAATATGTATTTTGATTTGTTTACAATGCCCGACACCTTCAGCTTTCCGTCATCGACACCTGTCGCTTTTTCCGGAGCGAAACTTCTCTAATGGCAAACACACCCCGCTTTTGCCGTTATATGCGTCACAAAGCACAATAATAACAATAATCTCACACACACACGTGCGCGGCGGGGTTGGCTGGGGAAATGGACGTCAGAACGATACGTCAGTAGCCGCTTGTAGTTCCTTGGACCGATAGTAAAGCCCAAACTACTCGAAAGAAAAGCGCTCGGAAACACACGCGTATAGGATGGAAAGCAACGAAGTGGGCAGAAGCCAGCGCAGAACGAGCGGTTTCATTCCACAAACGGAACTGATCGGAGAACGAAGCTGCGACCCAGGCAAAACCTGTGCGCCGCACACAGTCAAAACAATGAACAGCTGACGCGAAATCTCTCTCGCTCCCGCTGCTTATCAGCAAGGAAACGTTCATACATACATATGTATGTACATGCACATGTTCTCTTATGTGCGCAGATGCCAGGCAGCAATGTTGTCCCCTATCTTTTCTTTTACTATGTGGCGCCCAGTCGATTTGACTCCTGGCTTTCGGCCTTGCACTCCACAAGCAGTTCTGTGTTTGCACTTTTGACCTCTGGCTCAGCGATGCCTTTGCATTTTCCTTTTTTCCGTTCCCACTCATACACGCATGCACGAGCACCTACATGGGGGCACAACTGCAGCTGCCCTCTAAAGCAGAAACACGAACTGTTAGCTGGCACGACGGACTAGCAATACCACGCACACACGCGCAACACAAAGCTGCTACGTAGTTTAACCACAATTTAGCACACATTAACTTATTGCGGGGAGCGAGCCCTCGCCATCCCATTAGGGTTGTCAAGCACTCGTCGGTTCTGATAAACAGCACCCTCTGCCCAAAAATAGCTGTTAACTGTGAGCCAAAAAACGCAGCAATGAGCATGATCACCACAAACGCAAAATTTGTGAATGACGAAGTGGCATAGTCGAGTTTTTTCAGCTCGTCAATTGCAAGACAATGGATTTAGGATTTAAGATGTTTCCTGTAATTACCACAAATTTGGCGACCCTGGTTTCGTATATACCCTTTTCCAACAGCCGCTTGAAATCGCATCAATAAGGCGTTCAGACTAATTTATGAAAGTTTATTATTTATTTACTGTAATACATAATACTGGAAGAATACTTCGATATTAGGTAATCAATAATGATGTGTTTAGTATTTTTGAAGATTCTTTAAAAGTGGTAGCAACTTGTATAGGCAAAAATATGCTGAGAAATAATGCGTTAATGTCATTTTCTTTAAAATAATAGAACACATAATTTGATAACTTTAAAATTGTGATGGCCTTAGAACATAAATGTATATTCATCGAATTAAACCTAAAGTGACAGACCTTAACAACCGCATCCAGGAATTAAATTTCACATTAGCTGGTATTTAATTTTTGCAACTTTTCATTTCAACTTCTTATTAGTTTATATAAAAAAAATTATTTACATAAACTTAAATTTTATGTGTTTTTTAAAATAATTAATTATGACAACTGAGATTATCCCTCAATGTTACCTATTTTGAGTACGTTTGAATAAATCCAATGAACTATCGATACATGATGAATGTATCGATACATTAAACAATAAGCTTCGCTCAATACCGAATAATTAGTATTCAAATTGCCACATTTTATTATAAAGCGGTGGAGAAGGCTTAATTATCGATCAGTGGACTAGAAGATTCAGTACAGCCATGTCCGTATGTTTAAATACATTTTGTGGGTTTACTTTCGGAACAAAAAAAAAATATATTATACACTCAGAGAATGTTGCTAGAAGGCCTTAATCAAATGCTATTCTATTCTGAATTTCCTATTTGTAAGTATTTTACTATACTTCAAGAATGATTAAGTTGCGCTTAAAATTTGAGAGGAAAAGTGGCGGATTATTTAGTAGAAAGTAGCGGAAGCCATTTCCCAATCTGGTAACACTGATTTCAACAACAATCATTATCGTTCCAAATGAAACGCAAAAAGGTTCAATTTTTATTTTCTCCCACGTTTTCGGCATTTATATTAACGTAAATATGGCTCTATAGTTTGCGCGCAAGCAAAAACAACCAGCACCTAGGTGCCCAAACACAACAAAATGGAAACGTATAAAAATCAACCGTGAGTATAAACCAAGTAACATTCTCGCTAATTTCGCAATTTACCACGCACACTGCCTCACTCGGCGTTGCACATTTATTGTTGCTGCACTTGTGTTGGTAGTATTGCCTTGTATGGATTCCTTATTGACCATGCAAACGTGGCAAATGAAAACTCAGTGGGGCATGCCACTTGGTGATGTAGAGAAATTGGCTGACGCAATTGCCGTCTGGAGTTGAGTAAAGTGCGTTGCAAGACCCCTGCTCGTGCGGAAAGAGGATGACTCACCACAGTAAGGACTTCCCCAAGCGGACACATCCCATGGCAGTAGGGTGCGCGACTTCATCTTTATGTTTGCATTCTAGATTTATTTTGAATCATACAACTTTTCTCAAAACCTAACAATGTAACTAAGCTAGTGGAGAATGCGAGGGATAAATTTGCAAATTTTGTTGACTACCGATGCAAATTGGCGAAGAAAAATAGAATCAAAATCTGCATGCTTAATCTCAACTTTCTCGGCGCTTATACTGACGGACATGGCAAGATTGAATTTTGGCACGATAATGTAGACGCCTTCTACCTGTTAAATACATTTCAATGAATTTAGTGTGCCCTTTTACACCATGAGTAACGGTTATAATTATAATATACAGTTATTGTAAAAGGCTCGATGATTATGTTTTTTAAAATGGTAGAGATTATTTATCATCACCATGACTTGTGAGGCAGCACAAGTGGCTAGTGGCTGTGCAGTGAACTAATTAATCACTATTTGTTTATTTACTTTTCAGTGCCATCATGGCATCTCCACAACAACAAAAAACACCGCGAAAACAACCATTCTCATTCTTTGGACCGGATTTCATACTCTCAAAACAAAACATATCTTTGACCCCTGACTTGAATTCTGAATATGGACGCATCATTTTACCAAACCATGGAGAGTTTGCAGTTGCCCAAGGAGCTGTACTGGGACCTCAAGTTGGAGCCACAATCCCCAACAGCGGTTTTGGGCTCCGATCTGTTTCCGCTTACTGACTCCGACGATACGACTTGGCTGTATGACGATAACTTTGCAAATGGTTTGTAATGCCTGAAAGCTTTATTAAATGGATTCTTAAGGATTTTAATTTAAGGCATTACCCTTATTGGCGATGACGAAGCTTTGACCCTGAATAAGGCAGCCTCCCTTGAGTTGCTTAGCGAAGAGGAGATGATGGTTGTGGAGATCTTTGACCTGAAAGATGAAGGTAAAGCTATTTAGTGTGTTTACTTTTATTTTTGTATCAATATTATAAATGTTCTTGTGTCTTCTTCAAGTGTATACATATATTCGTGATTCAAGTCACTAGTCAAGTTTTCTGGCCATGTCCGTGTGATTATTAAAATTCCAAGAACAAAAGCAATACAATAGTAATATACTAAGCAAGGGTTTCAATTTCTATCGATATGCCACAAAATTGTTCGAGTCATTTTGTATTTTATAAGGTTTTTCCTGTACTTTGGTCGATCACATAAGAGAGTATATAGAGAGCGAGCTGTATAAATACAAATTTTAAAAAAAAGCGCCTCTATTTGACGCTAGTGTGGAATCTCCCTTTCCAACTTATTCAATATATTACAATTCTATATCTGAATATTAGGTATCCGTCGGAAAACTCCACCATGACGTTTAAAATGAATTATCAATAAGATACAAAATATGATAAATAAGTAAAGCTATGGTGAATCACTAAAAATAACGTCTGCAAAATTTCCGAAAAAGGATCTCTTATTATACCCGTTGCTCGTATAGTAAAACGAAATACAAAATTCGTTGTAACGTATGTAACAGGCAGAAGAAAGCGTTTCCGACCATATAACGTATATATATTTATTATCAGGATCAATAACCGAGTCGAACTGGCCATGTCCGTCTGTCCGTATGAACGCCTCGATCTCAGGATCTATAAAAGCTAGAATATTGAGTTTAAGCTTGCAGCTTCCAGAGCCATAGACGTATCGCAAGTTTGTTTTAAAACAAACGGCGCTAAACTGCCGCGCCCGAACATGAAAAAAATGTTTTGATAATTTTTTGTATTAGTCTTGTAAATTTCTATTATTTTGCAAAAAACAATTTTTTGCCACGCCCACTCTTACACCCACAAACTGCCCAAAATTGACACGCCCACACCTATGAAGAATGTTTAATTTTTAGCTGAGTAACGGGTATCTGATAGTCTGATAGCATTCTCTTTTGTATTCATATTAAAAATCAAATTTTTGTATAAAGTAATTTTTTTCCTTATATACATATGTATATACATACTTGTTTTTTGCGGTTTTTGAATTGCAAAAAAAAAAAACAAAACAAATTAGTTCCTACAGCTCCATTCTTGATCGTTGGTGTAGATCAAGTGGATTTCATTGTCTGAGACATTAGGGGCTCGCACATCGAATAGCTTCGAACCTAAAATTCGGACAACTAAAGTTGCGGAACCGGTTTCAAGTTTGCTTTGTTTTCGTGTTCGTATTTTGCTGGTATTTTGGCCCTCTTTAACTTGAGCATGAGCGTGTTTTTGTATTATTGTTTTCACCGTGCATTTTATTTTTGTTGATCAACGTGGCCCCAAGCCAGCGCTGTAATGGCCAATTTCGAGGCAACAACAAATACTAAGATCGAGCGAGAGCAATGAAATCATTTTGCGATCGGTTTTTTTGCGTTACTTGATCACGCGTTAAGTGAGTGTTCGTTCGGTGGGACTCTCCAATTCTCTATGTAGCAATCTCTCTTGACTCTTTGCTGACGTTCGATTAATACATTAAGAATTCCATAGATAACAGCTGGGTTGTAGCGTTTCCAGGTAGGAACTCGATCCATTCTCTGGTCGTTAAGGCTCTCTTTTATATTACGTTATTGAGTATATATAAAATATCCTGCGATCAATGAACCATTTGACGTGGTTATGGCCGTCATAACTTTGGTATTTTTCGAGCAGGCAGGAAGCTTCTTTGTTTGAAATGTAAATTTTTACGAAAGACGTGCCCCCCGTTTTGAGACAGTCATTAAGTCTTAATCAGGTATATTCTTTAAAAGAGGGCTGATTTAGGATTGTGTTTAATCCTGAAGACATTACAAGACATATTGGTTATATCAAAATGTTGGGATATTACTCTTATTACCATCTTAAGCTTCTACGGTGTCCATATATGCATTTACAACTAATTTGCTAATACTACAATTACTTTAGTATGTGACATAGGTTAGTTA